GGATCAAGTGGATGCTAGTGTGTAAAATGGAGATGTTGATATGAAGTAATTTGAATTGTCAGTGACAGGCAAGCAATAATTACTTTTATAGGCAACCAGAATTCCACACTGTTTCATAAATAGCCAAAATACATGAGTAACATAAGAAACTCAGATACTGCATGCTCTGGAGGGGGAGCAGAAGTAGCAATTCTGTGTTGGAAAAAGTGTACCATTACAGTTGATAACAGCATGGGAAAGTGTGCAGTTAGTGAGAAAATGTTTGTAACTAGAAATTTAGTTAATTTCTCCTCTGTACAAGATAGATTTTACAGGTGCCTGGGGTTTTCGCTGTTGATGTTGTTATTGTGTTTACATATCACTATTTGAATAGATCCGATAAGAAAGTATTATTTAGGCATATTAACATTATTTTCAAATGTAGAATCAGGTCAAAATACACTTTCTGTCATATTTCCATTAATGCAAACATTTAAATGAGGTTTCCAATGTTTTCTCTCTTTTCTGGTAGATTTTGACAATATAAGTTATAAACTTTTCGAATAGAATAAAATCCTGGTATTATCCTTTTAGAATAAATAAAAAGTTTTAGTACAACAGCATGTACACCCAACAGTCGAAGAGTACTGGGAAGCTACTTTACATCTTCCCAAAATGACGAGCACGTAGTGTGCTCGAGAAAAAATTCTTTTAGATCTACTTTGATATGTATATTTTCAAAATTTGCAGATACCCTGTAGGAAATAAAAATCACTGTTCTGCGTTTTAATTTTGTGTTTGGGGATATAAACGTTAACCTCTCTATTATCGTTTTGTTCTGTTGTGTTGTGTTTTGTCTTGTCTTAAGATTCCAGGCAGGGACGACCCGTCACAGCGCGGAGTGGAGCGAACCTGCCCTCGAGTAACTAGCAGGGTGACTCCAGCGCAGCCCACAGTCTGTGTCTCATCAAGTGCTGAAGTTTGAGCAAAGGTCTGCAGCAGCAGACACACCTCTAAGCGAACTTTCTGAATCTGCAGCTAATCTCATAAAAGAGAAAGAGAGATTTAATTTA